CGAAAAAAGATTAAAAAAAAGACAAAAAAAAAAAAAAAAAGAAAACTTCATATATTTGTTTAAGTATATAAATAAGGAAAGGTTTACACCAATGTTTATGTACTGATGGAAAACAGCCTCAGGCACTATCACCAGTTAGTCCCATTGGGTTAGTCTTGTTTGTTTGCTTGTTTTGAAGAGATAGATGGCAACTTTTCACCTGCCTAGAACGTGTCTCTTGCTGTAATTGCACTTGGAGGCCCCAAAATGCACATGGGCAGGCTGAGACCTGGAGGGTGGCTGGAGAGTCAAGTACAGCTTGCAGCCCTTCCTTTCCAGTAATTGCATGGTGAAAACAAAAGTGAACAGCCAGCAGCTTACACTGCCAGGGAGCTCAGGCCACAAGCAGCCCCAGAACAAGGAAGTCGTGGTGGGGCTCTAGACTTTCACAAGAACTTACAGGTGTCAAACATGCCAGGGCCATGCTGGGTCTATAGTGGGCAAACACATTTCTGGCTTCAGGAGAATGTCTCCCTTAAGCCCCTAGGTCTTGATTAAGAAGTTCTCAAGGAAGATGAGGTTCCAAAATTGTGAAACCTGCTATTTCCTGGATATCAAGGCAGTTCATCCCTAAGGTTTATTTAATGTTTACCATTTGCAGGGCACAGCTGTGGGCACCTGGGAGTGGCACGAAGGGCAAGGCCCCCAAGCCAGAGGGACTCGGGTTCTGGTTATCTTCTGTGGGCTTAAGGTCACTCTGGGAAGAGGGAGGGAGAGCAACAGAGTTCAGCTGTGATTTGCAGTCCTGAGAGGTGTAAGTGCTTAATCAATACTTTGACTCCTTGGAATCCGGTTGGAGATGAATGGCTGGGAAACGGTAGGAGTGCCCCCCTCCTGGGAGTGCAGGGAGAAGGAATGAGGTCATGTTTGCAGAGGGCTTTGAGCTGTTGGGATGAAAGCAACTCCCCAAGTACAAGGTATTATTAACTGAAGGTATTATTATTTTAATCTGAGACGACAATGTGGCAGGTAAAACAGAGCAATAAAAACATGCCCATCAAAAACAAATGAAAGAACAAAATCCTTGTTACATCAATGGCCTAGGTTACAGCAGGAGATATGATGCAGCAAGCAAGAGGAGAAACAATCGTAGCCAGTACTTCCTGGGTGCCAGGATAACAAGGATGTTGCGATTGCAAGTTGTTGAGTCAG